CTCTCTCTCTCTCTCTCTCTCTCTCTCTCTCTCTCTCTCTCTCACGCGAGCACGCACGTGCACATGCAAGTGTGTGTTTCTTACGCATGCGCACGGGTGTGTGCACGCTCTTTCTTAGCTCCATGGTTCTGTGAGAACTGATCATGGAAGGATGAAACCACTCTGTGAGAAAGAGTAATTTGCAAGATCATCGTGATGTTGGATGCGTACTGGCTCTCCTCTGAGTTCTGGAGCCATTGGATTTCTTCATGTGTCCGTATCCTGGACCGTTTGGATGGATGTGTCATCTGAGGGAGGGATTTCCACAGCCTTGCCAATCCAGGACTGGAAACAAAGGGGGGTGATGCGAGGCAGAAAAGAAAAAGGGAAAAAAAAAAGAAAAAAACAAAATGTCATGTTTTCTCTCTTCTTGCTCCTGGATGAGTGCTTTGTGGGGGAGGGTCTACGCGTCGAGGACAGATGATTGCGACGCTCATGTCGTGGGGAGGAGGTTCATGCTGCTAGTGATTAATTTGGCGAGACTGGCGGTCTTTTTTTCCTTCTTTTTTTTTTTTCAAACAATAAAAATTTCATTCTTTTGTTCTTACTTTGTAGTTGTACATTTCATTGCCCCATCGATCTGATTTTATCCATGTCGGAAAGCGGGTGTGTACGGCCACTGCTTTTTTTTTTTCTTTCTTTCTGTCATTTCGTTCGTTCCTTTCTTTTTGACAGGCTTTGGTTGGACACAAGTAGATGCTGCTTTCGTCCTTTTTCGTAGACTGAGAAGAAATGTTCCCTTCCCCCTTGGAAACCTTGGGGTTCGCTGCACTACTCTCCAAATCTGCAAAATGAGAATGAATCTTCCACTAGAACTTGGAAAGATGCACCACCATCTGTTTTGTCTTTTGTGCAAGTGGAGAGTAGTGCAGCGAGGCCCTTTGGCAGTGCGCTTTCCTTCTTTTGCGCAGCGACGAGGATCTTCTCAACGACGAGGACTTACCGTTGCAGCAGGACTTCGTGTGTACCTACAAAGTATGAAGACAGCGACTGACCATGCAGAGGCGTCGTCGCGTAGAGAGCAGCAGCAACATATTTGTCGTCATGCTGGAAAAAAAAGAAAAAAAAAAAAGAAAAACAAGATTTTCATATATGGATCGGCATGTGTTTATTGAAGTAGCACTCCCCGGTTTATTTGCGCTAATGGTTCGTGTTAAAAAAAAAAAAAAAAAAAAAAAAAAAAAAGTATTTTACTATTTTTCTATTTTTTCTTTTAAATACCTGGTTTTCGGCAGTGCTAAGGAGGGATGCACATTTTTTCACTACCTTACCGTATTCAACGAATCCGTCCAGAAACGAGACAAAAGTTCGAATACGAGTCTGGGCCTTAGGCAAGCAGTGGGTTTTTTAATTTCTCGTCGTTTTGTTTCAAGCAAAAATGACGTCTTTTTTCTTTTGATACGGAGCAAAAATGACGTTTATTTTCTTTTGATCTGGAACCTCATAGATGGTGGATGTCGGGGCCTGTCTCGCTTGGCCTCATAGACGCAAGGAACATTGCTCTCTGTTCTTTCTTTTTTTTTTTTTTTTTTTTTTTTGAAAGTGGAGGGATGACTGAACCTGTCCCGCCCGAGTGAGCGGGTAAGAGTACCAGCGGGGGTTACGAGCTGACTACAGAGCAAAGTGTACGAGAATTGCCGTGTTCGTGGGTGTTGTGTGTGGTGTGTGTGGAGTTGGACACTACAGCCTTGCAGGGGTGGGGTGGATATCACGACTGGTACGATTCCATTTTTGAACACCGTGTCCTGGTTGTAGTGGTTAAGAGACTTGGCTCTTGAGGCCGAGGTCGCCGGTTCCAATCTGTGTTTGCACGGAGGAGGGTTTAGGCCCAGACGTACCGAATGCCCTACTATTACTATTACTACTACTACTACTACTACTAGTACTGTCCCGCTCAGGGAACATTGCACTCTGTTCTTTTATATATATATATATCTGCTTACGGTTTTACCGGGCAGTTCTGTTTGTGACGATATACATGTATATATATATATATATATATTACAGTATATATATATGTATATAATATATATATATATATATATTTTGAAAACCACCAGTACATCCAGCTATTGGCTGCGGGCCCTTTTCAGAGGCCACCCGCTGCCGATTCAATTTATCGATGGCGTTGGGCCCCCGAAAAATTTTGTAGGCCACGAGTTTTCTTTTCAGCAAGTCTGGAGTTGTGTACTGGCGGTTTACGACACTCTGTTTATTATTGTGATGTACTACTCTTCTATTATATATGTCTGCTGTGCCTCACAGATGCAGTGAATGTGGGTTGGAATTATGCGGATGCAGTGGATGTGGGTTGGAATTATGGCCGAGGTCGCCGGTTCCAATCTATGCTTGCACAGAGGAGGGCTTAGGCCCAGACGTACAGAATCCCCTACTACTACTACTACTACTACTACTACTACTACTGTCCCGCTCAGTAAACATTGCATTCTGTTCTTTTGAACACACCGGCCGGTTGATGGGAAGGGATGTTGGAGGTAGCACTTGGATAGCGAATAACAGGGAAATCCCAAGCAGCCGCTTTATCAAATACGCTTATGCGAAGCGAACCATCAGAACGTACYCGTAGATGCATACCTAAAAAGGTACACGAGCCATCTGTGGTCGTAGTCTCCTTCCACTCGAGCCCAAAGTGCTCTGAAGAAGGAGGTAATTGCCCCCATGAAAGAACATCATCAATGAGGCTGTAAGTGAAGGCGTATCGCTGAGCAGCTTGGGGATCATGTTGATGAATGTCATCAATAAAGCGTGCTTCATCCCAATAGAGCGTTAGATTGGAGATTTCTGGGTCAGCATTTGTTCCCATTGGAATACCAATGATTTGCTTTCTAAGAGTACCATCTCTAGTGTACAAAAAAGTGTTTTCTACAACAAAGCGAAGATGTTGGAGAATCTGAGAAACAGAAAGGCTGTCTGGTCCTGAATCGGTTGTCCATTGACCAGAGCAAGGCCCGCGAATRAACATGTTCAAGGCTCTGCAACACGAATGCATGCGGGTATGCTGAAGGGCATAAGCACGAGCTTCATCAACAGCCTTTGCCACATTATTCAGAATGCGGTCATGAGGAAGGTTGGTGTACATTGTGGTGAAATCAACCGTGCGAGGAGAGAGAGAGGACACATTGTTTTTCAGGTCAATCGCCACCTCATCGGCACTCTGGACGATCTAGCACCGTCGAACACCTTCCTATTGACAGAGCTCAGTGTCTTTCTCACGAAGAGTAGAGATCACGCCTTGCAAAGCAGTGATGAGACATGATGAAGTAGCCGTTGTGCTAGCCAAGGGTTTGTGAGGAGGCCGTTCATGAAAGGTACAAATTGAAGGACGAGAGCGAGTGCGTGGGGGGACAGGACAAGTATTCTGTGTTGTGACTCAAAGAATGCTGCAAAGAGCTGGAGGAGACTTGTGGGCTTTCAACACATAGTATAGGTAAGGCAGGGTATCAGTGTGGGTATAACCCCAATGGTGATTCCATAGTGCATGGTGGTTGAGCACATCAACAACGGATTAATGAGGACGAGTATAAGTGGGACTGTCCAAATGGGTAGAGAGGTGAAACAAATGTCAATTCTTGCAACAAATTGCCAAATTGTGGGATGATTTGTTCACAGGGACAATGACAAAGTGTTGTTGCAGATGGCGTAAGGTTTCATAATCAATGAATTTGCAATTAAGAAATAATCAAGGGGCTGTCTCGATACTTCCCCCCCCTCTCGGGAGATTTCCTGCCATGGGCATGGCAGGTGCTATACCAAGCTTTCCTCTAGGTTACGCTGTCCCGTTTGCTTATGCTCACATGTCGAACCGCCAGGCATCTGTTTCTCATCGTGTAGATTGGCGTGCACACTTGGAGTGAAATACTAACTTGTATTCTGCAGGAAGGTGGCGCAAGAGACAAGTCCGTCATCTTAACAATGTTGTACAGGCCGAGCGGTTTGAGTTACAATTGTGAGGTGTTGATCAACAACCTCTTGAGCCAGGTATGGACCCCCTCACTGTTCGAGGAGTGATTTATGCAATTGTTCATTTACCTTCTGGTCGTTTTTATGTCGGACAGATGATGCATTTTGCACACCAAAGGTTGCAAGAGCATTGACATACACGACACTCTTTTGCTGTTTTTCACCATCGCCATTTCTACCGCACAATGAGTGGGCAACCAACATTCAACTTTGCGGCTTGGCCCCTGGAATGCGTCGATCTTACGCTGTATCATACGTCTTGAGGTCTTGTTGATCATGGCCTCTTTCGGAGGGCTGCTGCACCCCGCGAGGGTTTTTGGGTTCGAAAACTTCGAACGCTTCACCCAGTCGGTTTCAATGCAGTCCTTCCAATGGCTAGATTGCCATCTCCACGGTGACATT